TATTCAAATTTTTATTTTATTTTATTAAGTAGTTATTGAATTATAAATAAAAATTAAATTAAAAAATTTGTTTAAAGACTTTTTAGACAAACTGTATTTTAGAATAAAAAATAAAAATAATAATTAATAATTTTTTGCTTTTTTTTATATATTATAAACAATAATAAAATTTAGTACAAACTTTTAAATTATATAAAATTATTTAATAAATTGTTTATTGTTATATACAATAAATGTTTTTAATATTGAAATACATTTAAAAATAATAAATAAACTTTTGAAGATCTTTGCTTTATATCTAAAAGATTTATACTTGTGTTTCAAGTATTTTTACAAATAAAATATATAAAGTATACAGGGGTTGCTTTAATCTATTAAAAAATAATTTAATAAACCTTTTTTAAATAATAAAATCAAATTAATTATTATAAGTAAATTTAAGAAACTATATGTAATTTTTGATATAATATTGAAAATAAATATAGCACTTATTTTTAAAAAGGATTTTGTATTATTAATAATTTCTTAAAAAAAAAATTAGATAAAGCAAATGTTCAAATAAATATAATTCATGCTGAAAGATTATAAAAGTTTTTTTATTACTTTTATTTAAAAAATGAATAATACTTTAAAGATTTAATAATTTGAAAATAAAAATTAAACAGAAACAGATAGCAAACTCAAAAAAGCATAATTTCTCTTAATGATACTAAGATTCTCTTGATGCATAAAGCAAAATTATGTTAAATTATAATACAAAATTTTGCAAAATTAACAATAATTTTATATAAATTTACAATATACATTCTTTTTTAAGAGAATACAACGACTTATCGTTCGTTGTCTCTATTGTATCTATTCTGAGATTCATATCGATCACCATGGTTGTTTTGGGAATAACCACCGTATGCGTGATAGTTACTGCCATTACCTCGACCGAATCCACGAGAATTTCCACGGGCATTCATATTGTATGGATAACCTCCCTGCCCATAATGGTTGTACCGGGAAACATCCCTATTTTCATAATAATTGTTGGAATAATACCTAGAATCATCGCGATTTTCATATGAATTATATTGATATTGA